GTGAGGTTTACGAACAAAAAACAGCCTCGGATTTCCAATTACGTCATGGCCGGGGCTACCTTGCCGGTTGAAACAGAATATAAATATCTAGGGGTCATTTTTTCTGCCAACCTATCTTGGAACGCTCATATTAATTACTTAACATTAAAGGCTAGTCGTGTGCTAAATTTTTTGAGGCGCAATTTCAGACAGGCACCAACTAAGTTGAAAGAAACACTATACATATCCAATGTGCGTCCCATATTAGAATATGCCTGCAGTGCCTGGGACCCCTCAACAAAATCAAATACAGAAGCCCTGGAGCGTGTACAGGCACGCGCAGCACGCTTTGTGGCAAGCAATTATAACTTTACCATAAGATCAGCTGACATTCGTTCAGGATTGCAATAGCCTCTGTCAGCTGACCGGCGAAAATACCTACGACTGTCCCTATTTTTCAGCATATTCATGAACAAAACAGGCATCGACAAGGATCAGTATATAAGGCCACCTACCTATGTGTCACCCCGTACTGACCATTCTTTAAAACTGCGTGAATACACTTCCAGGATCAACGCATTCAAATACGCCTTTTTTCCAAGAACCACGCATGAGTGGAACGGCTTGCCAGAGGAAATTGTCTCTGCGCCTCCCTTATCTTTTGTTAAAAATCTGCACAATTTTTTGTTGAACTAATCATTACTGTACATTTCTGATGCGTTCCGTACTAATTATTTTCTTTTGTTTTTATTGCCCTGTGTTACCAATAGCACTCTTCTCTTTCAACGTTTTGCTTTGTATTTGCAATTTGATGCCTTATTTATGACAGTGTTGTTTCACTTTGTTGTTTCACTTTGTTATGACTATGTTCTTTCAAACGATACAGCCTTTTATCCGCAACCATCTTTTTCGGTATATCGACTGTACTCTATTCTTTTGCTTGTTCTCCCCCCTACAATAATGCCCATAAGGGCGATGTAGGTACATGTATAAATAAATAAAATAAATAAATAAACCTGGATATAACGAAATTGACCGATTATCAGAAAAATTTCTTACAAGGAGGATATCGTTATAAGCAGGTTCGGTATGAAAATTCAAAAGTTAATGCACAAATTTTAAAAAAGGGGAACCAAAGGCAAAGCTAATCTAAAACACTTACTTAGCGGTAAGAAAGAACTGCATTATTATTGCAATAGTAATTATATGCACACTATCAGCAAGTTTTTGTCATCGCCGCCATGTTCCGTAACAACTCCAGATTAATAACATGCCCCAGAGCACCGCAACTTTTACTAGCGAGTAAAAGCGTGCGAGCATTGCTGAAACAGAGATAAAATGGGCCAGCCCTTCTTTATCGTCTAGAGGGCGCATGTGATAACATCCCTAGCGTGTTAGAACTGCCGTCGAATGCTCAAACAGAAAGGAAACCACCTGCCTTGAACAAGCATGAATAAACCCGGGGGGGGGGGGGGGGGGGGGGGGCTCACTCGAGTAGTGACAGTGAATTTTGATTTCAAGCACGCATTCACGATCAATACGAAGAGACTGTGTGGAAAGAGCACTTTGTCCTGGAGCGGCTTTATTAGCTTACACAAGCATTTTGTAGGAGTTCTAATATCGTATATAAAAGATTTTGCTGCCAGCCTCACTTAATATAACATTAAAATTTGTTCTAACCACATTTATTGCATTGCATTTAAAGCGCCATCGTGTTATTGCCAGAGCCAATTGGCTTATGGCGAAGGCTACGGTCCCGCAAACTCGCAGAGCAAGACCGAAGCGCCAGATTTGGGTGCACGTTAAAGAACACCAGGTGGTCGAAATTTCCGGAGCCCTCCACTACGCCGTTTCTCATAATAATATGGAGGTTTTGGAACGTTAAACCCCACAAATCAATCAATCAGACCGAAACTCCTGACGCGTCAACCTCCAAAGATTTATTGTTATCACCATGGTCTTGGAGAGTTCCATCAACACCTAATCAGACATTACCTCGGTAGTGACGACTTGGCTGTCCACATTAGATTTTTAAAAAAAGAGGAAAAAAAGCTGAACGTCATTGGGGGCCACGCCATGTGCACGCAGTCAAACCATGCACGCGCACATGGCGTCGAAAACGAAACGTGAACAGACATGGATACCATGAAAAACGCCCTCCATATGCAGCAGGGCCCCACAGGTAACGCTAGCTAAAAGTGCTGGCAAAAGTAGTTTTCATTCTTTGCTTTTTGGTTTGGGGGGAGGGCACATCGGCGTATTCGCCCGCGCCGGCTAGTGGGGTGCAGGCCCGCCTCCCCGCCTCGCGCACACCCACACACAATAAAGAGCACTCGCTCTGGCTTGGGAGTCGCCGGTGCCATGAGCGTGCCGCTACCGCTTCGTACTTCGGTGGCGGCGAGGCAACGACGTAAGATGCATGCTCTTGCCAAAATGACAAAAACCGGGGTATAATTCCCGATTTTCCGTATCTAAAATTCGTTATATCAAGGATGTCTTCCGCTGCTACTTTATTACATAGAGGTCGCAAACACATGTTCTATGGGGTAACAGCGGGAAATAGAACAGCTTCGTTATACCGAGGAATTCGTTATACGGAGGTTCATTATAAGCAGGTTTAACTGTAATGTTCCTGGTCAGTCTGTCTGAGTAGGCCTGATTGGCTATGAAGAAGAGGTAAGCCGACTTATGCAGCTTGGCTCCGCTTGACAATGAGATAAACCAAATGAGATAAACACAATATGGTGGGGACAATACCCACCATATAGTATCTTCTAGTCACACAAACAAAAGCATGGACCCCCAAAATCTGTATATGACCCCCAAAATCTGTATTAGCAAGGCGTCTATGATGTCACTTAATCTTATGCGCATTATTATAAAACGCAAGTCCTCCGAGACCAGTTTGACTGCATAGTCGAGTTGCCGCAGACTTGTTATTGTCCATGCTTCCCATGGTCTTTTTGTACTGGCTCCTTACTTCTGAATCGTCACGATGATCATGCAAGCGTGCTTTATGTGCTTAATTCTGTAATGCTTCTAACTGTTGGGGCCAAAACAATCACATACCATTACGTTTCTGCGGGGAACACCATTCTCGTCCTCACCGACCAGACTGTGGCTGAGTGTGCAACAGCGCAAAGCAGTGCAAGGGGGAGCAGTATTATCAGAAGATTGCTTGCAGACGTACTTCCACATTTGCAAGGCGTTCGGGTATGATCAAGGCTCTGGCATCTGCAAGCCATACTGATCTGACACTGCGATAACTGTACTAGAACAGAGGGCCAAGAAAGATACCACTCACAGATGGCAGTGCCTCTGGCAAAAATTTCACAAAAACAAAGCATGACCGCATATGGTCACTTGAGAATACCACCCCAGGTATCAAGCTCACATCATCAGATGTTTACTTGAATTTACTTGGGAGTTTAGCTGATTTATTCAGAGTAAATGTATGCTCAAGTGATCATGATGAGACCCATACTGCACTGCAGGCATCTAATTTGCTTAAAAATGTTAGTCTCTCAAGTCAGTCATTCACAACTAGCCAGACTTTTATCTCTTAACACTGCAGCTGTTCGTCTCGCGGCAATCGGCTATAAAAAAGTGCACCAGCCAACAGTGCAAAAGTTTTTTACATCCCCAAAGGAACCAAATAAAAATTTTGTGCACTTCACTACAACTCTCATTTTTAAATTTTTCCGTTTCCTGAACTTTTGCATTTCCTGGTTCCCATGTTTCATTTCATACAGTTCCCTGAAAAACATATTAGCGGGGGTTCTGCTGAAAGGCATTCAAATTATTGTACAGAACGCAGCATCATTTTCTCAGCATGAACTCTCTTACAGCTTGAATGCACATAGAAAAATGCACAAATGCCTATGTAGTTTCAAGAATGCAATTTAAAACTACACTCAAATCTCATTATAACGAAGTCACCCCTGTCACAAAAATGCTTCGTTACATCCAAAAATTCCATAAAAACCTCTATTCGTAACATCTATGACAAAACTATTTGCGCTTGTCCCTGTATCTTCTTTTTTGTTGTCGTTTGTCTGCTTTTGCATACACCAGTTTACCCAAAACAAAACTATTCCTCACTTACTTCGTTACAACCAATAATTCCCCTTATCCGTGTTTGTTATATCAAGGTTTGAGTACAGTATGCTGCGTTAAATAAAACCCAACTTTGACCAGCAATCTGCATACCTCCATTGCAAGTACAAAGGCTTCATTGAAGCGAATTGATGTAGCAGCCGGTCACTAGTTTTTTTGTTTGTTTTTTTTATGGCCAGGTCCACTACGGCTCCGCTGACGTTGAAAGTGACGTTGAAAAATATATCACCAAAGTGACGTTGAAAAATATATGCTAAGAGATTGCAAAAAAAAAAAATCAGAAAGCAAACATCCGTCACGCGGAATCGAACCAGCAAATTTTCGATTCTCAGCGCGCAGCGCTAAACACTATGCCACAAAGTGTACGTTGTTTGGAGTGCTAATAGAAAGCCATTTATATACACCATGCGCACGCGCTTCTCAGACTCATAACTTAAGAAAGGACGAAGGTCACTTCACAAGCTGCCACTGCCCGGTTACGAAAGAAGCGCGCTGCTGATACACGATGCAGGAACACTTGTGGCAGTTGTTAGTCCGCACTCGCCCTGTGTATGCTAATTTTATGCGTGCCTTCTGCTTGAGGTGTGCGCTGCAAGTTTCGAGCTGCTTGCCGTTCCTAACGTGACTTTCAATTTGTTGCTGTTGTTGAAACAATGCACAATAAACGCACAACTACCTCTGTAGAGACATGTTTCACTTTCGTGTTACTATCGATTCCTATATAAGTGGATCAGTCACGTTTTTTTAAGTACATTTCCTGTGACTGTTTTACAATTACAATTTCTAGTACTTATGTGCAAACAACATATTGGATTTTATCACTACAGTTCACAGTCTAGCAAGCGTGGTCGGTACCGTGTTGGTCCCTTTAACTATGTACATTATATTAACCACATAACCCTTACCACTTGTGGCATTTTCTGAACTGGCCGGTGTCGTTGTTTGTGTTACTTCGTCTTCTTCATCTTCCGAGTCACTGAAATACCAAAACAATGAAGGCTCTGTGATTTCATGCTTCTGAAACTTCTCAAACAATGAAATTTTTAAGGCTAGTAAATCAGATTTTACAATTTTACCTATGATTTCTTTTTTTGGTGAGGGGCAGTTGGTTTGTTAATTTTGACTAAATCATAAGCTTCAGTGAGTTTTCAGACTTCAGTTTGTTTCACTTCAGAAAAAGCCCTTCCAAAAAGAGATGTCTTTTGTGTGTGATTCCAATGGCAGAGTCAGAGCAGAGTCGCTTGCAGCGGCCGATGGACTCTGCAAGCGAGTGCTCAATTACAGCATAAAGCAACGCCTCCAAATTTGTGATTGGAACACAATCCGGCTGCCGGAACAAGCATGGAGAGCAAGCTGGAAGAGGAAGTCTTTGTGTTGCCTAGAATGCCTTGCGCGTAGTTATTTCATTCCCCTAATTTCACTGTCAAATTTTGGTGAACTACAACTTGTACATGGTAGCTTCAGTGTCGCTATCACTATCCGATGAAATGGAGCCTTCTGGTTTGGAGCTGTCGCCAATTTTCCCAGTCAGCTATGTCGTCCACCATTGCTGCCAAGACACGAGACATCGGCAGCATCCCCAAGTGGGCAAATGCGTTAAACAGAGTACGCCACGCCGACTTCCGGTCCACTCCGCTGATTTCAGTGGACCAACTTTGCCCGCTCCTCGGAGTCACTCCCACTATGAATATACTCCGACTCTTTAGTTGGAACAGTTGACTCCCACCCTCACTCTGCCACTGAAACACACTTGCCCCAAAAGGAGCACGAACACTTGCTCCAACTCTGCCATTGGAAATCAACATTAAAAACAAGCAAGGACTCCAAGCAAGTTTGTGAATGCACCGAGCCCAATATAAGAATATTTTCACGTGAAGACACACAAAAAAAGAATAATAACATTTCTTAAACATGATACATGAAACCTGACACAAAATCTACTGCTAAAATGACAAACAACATCACCTGAACAGCGCTAAGCAACCACAACTCCCAGAGCTAAGACTGCAGTTGGCGCACCTGATGACGTGTTTCCGCGATGGCTTCTTTCTTGTCACGGAGGACACCTCTGGAGAAGCTGGCACCTCCGTCTTGATTCGCTTCTTTTCGGGCGTGGACTTGTCGCTCGGACTTTTGTCGACACTCTTCCTCTTCATTGCCTCGCCACTGGAAGGTGTACCTTTCGGTGTCACTTTGCTGTCGCCTGCATCCTTCTTCTCTGCGGGTGGTGTCGACTTCAATGACGCACTAGCAGCTGAAAGAGGACACCCTTTTTGTATACCGTTCGGAGGGACAAAACTGATGTCGCATTTATATTTTGGTATTACATAACGTAAAGCAGAATGAAGTAAGAACAGTAGAGAACATACCTTTAGCAGCCCCTTTTTACTTGCTATCGTTTCGAGTTTATTGATGTCATAATAAACTTGAAAAACAAGCTTTGCAATATGAAGTCACTGTATTCAAATGCTTCTTTATGTAGTTCAATGATAGGCATTGGTGGGCACAATAAAATTTCTATAAATTCACTTTTCAATGCTGCTTGTAACAACAAAACATTTTTGAAAATGGAGTGATGCTGCCTGAGAATAATACATCAAGACATGGTTTACCACAGCATAGACCTTACGCCCAAACTTTCTGTCTATGCTATGTTTACCACAGCATAGACAGAAAGTTTGGGCGTGATGCTTATGCTGTGGTAAACAATGTCCGGTGTCATCCTGAGGTATTATCCTCAGGCAGCCCACAGCATAGACAGAAAGTTAGGTGGGCCGATGAGATTAAAACGTTTGCAAGCATAATGCAGCAACGGAAAGCACAAGACCGGGTTGATTGGTAGATCATTGGAGAGGCCTTTGCCCTGCCAAAGTAGTCAGGCTGATGATGATGAGACATAGGGCCCCAGCTAAGTCTTGCCAGAGTTAAAAAACATGCAGACGCACTTCGTGAAAACACGGTCAAGTGCATGTTATTCACCATTTCATAGATTAAGATACACTATTTTTTGTGTCCCGATAACTTGCATAATTGGGCAAGATTAGTTAACTAACTTCTAAAGCAATAAATCTAGGCCGAAAGCTCAATCAAAAAGCTATAGATGGGTTTGCAAAACATCCGAGTAGACAGTTTCTTACTTTTCATTTAGCAAGTATCGGCATTCTTCTATTTTTTGTAAAAATCTCATAAAATACAAAAAACACCAAATACCATGCTCATTTTTGCACAGTGACTGCCATGCTTTCTAACATTCAATTTACAATCCATGCGAATAGCACCTTGCACTTGTTCATGACTGATAAGCAGACGCAGTGGATATCTCTTGTGCTACTACAGTCAAACCTCAATATATCGAACACGGATTTATCGAATTATTGCCTATATCGAACGGTTCCTATATCACGCGGGAAATCGCATGCATATTGATTTTTTATTTCGAACAAAGTTTGACATATAACGGATATATCGAACTCAGCCACCCCAAACCGCCTGCGCTCCATTGACAGGCGGCGAGCTTTCCCGCAACTCTCGAAAGTAGCAGTAGAGCGGCGGGCATTTACGAATGCTGCACACATCGATGGCGCCGAGAGCGCCACTTTAACGTAGCAGCCTACGCGCGCCGCAGCCTCGCAGCTTGCAGTCGTTGCAGTCTCTATGGTGTCAACGGCACACTGTGCACTTGTTGCAAGCTCCTCCCCCATAGCATCGGTCATTGTGCTCGCAGTGTTCGTGCATTCGGAGTTAGGCCTGTCGCGCGCTGTGGTGCGCGACAGGCCTAACTCCGAACGGTGGAGCTCACGGATGTGGAGATTGTCGCCGAAGCTACTGCTGAGCAGCCAAATGAAAACTCTGCCGAGGTGGATCCTGCAAGCGCTGATGGTGCCCCGCTCCCGACATCAGCTGAGGTCGTAGCTGCCTTGGCCCTTGTGCGCCGCCACTGCGGCGCGATTGAAGGCACCGGCCTATCACTTATGGATCGCCTGGACTATATTGCGGACGCAGTCGTCAAACACGCCATGGCCAACAAAAAGCAGGCTATTCTATTTCAATATTTTAAACCAACACAATAAATACTATGTTTGAATCTTCAAGTGAGTATTTACTATACCACGCTTGAACGGTTTGTTGATTGTTTTCAGCAAGCTGTTGACGCATTTTTTTCATGATTTTTTTATATCGAATTCTGGATATATCGAGCTATTCCGCGATCGCCGTGCCGTTTGATATATCTAGGTTCGACTGTACAAGCAAAAGGTGTGCCATCATCATCACTGTGATTGTCCTCGTGCTACCATCATCATTACCACCATAACCATCACTACCACTACCACCGTCATCCCGCCACCTTTGAAGGGGAGGCACACCTAGCTAAATGCTGCGGTCATTAGCAGGCAAAATGCTTGGTTGCAAGGTAATGCAAGTGGACATGTCACATGGTATTTTTTGCCTTTCACAGGCAAATATAAAAAGTGGAAAAACCCTGACACTTCATGTATTGAAGGTTAGAAGCTGTCTAATGAAACTACAATTTTCTATATGAAATTTTTTTCCCAGCTTTGCCATTTGATAAGTTAGTGAATAAATCTTGTCAAATGAAGCAGTTGAGCAGAACACAAAAACTAGTGCAATGTACAATACGCTATAGTCAGAAACATGGATTTGGTGGCAATATCATAAATTTTGTCAGCATATTTTTAAAGGGCCACTCACCAGGCCCCATACCGAATTTTAGTTAGACAGTGGAAGTTGTTGGGTGTTTGATGTGGTACGTTTTGCCACAAAAATTTTTCGAATCGGTTCATTACGATCGGAGAAAACAGGTTTTTTAAGCAGCATGAAACGAGGGTGAGAGGAGACGAGTTCGAAACCCTTGCCGCTCCTCTGCGTAGCCTTCGCAAGCCAAACCTCTTCCCCACCCTCTCCGGCATCCGACCAAGAGGTGACGTTCGCATGACGTGCCCGAACAAGCCCAGTCCCCATGCACGCGAGCGGCGTTGCTTTGTTGACCAGTGTTATTTTGTGGTCTTCTGCCTGTTTCTGCGGGATGGTTTGGAAACGCTGGCTTAGACGCGGTAGAGTAGATGAGCACAATGAGTGCGCGAACGCGTAGGAGCGTTCCACGGCGGTCGTCTGCTCAATGCGCTGACCGCGGGGACACGAACGCATGTGAAACGCTGGCACATTAGCCCCGCATCTCGTAGCATTTCACGGGAAAAAAATGTAAGAAAAGCGTGCACAATTTTTTATTGCGTCTCATTATTTATTTCAAGTATTATTATTCTCTTAAAGCAACAAATACATAAACTACGCATGTTGTGTTAAATAATTTTAGCCATGTCACGTGGTATACTGTTCACAACGTCAGAGCAGAGTCGTCTACGTAGAGGACCAACGTGACCGCAGAGGTGTGTATGTAGGGCCATTCCTACGCCTACGTCATGCCCTCATTCTCTACGCGTGCGCAGGTAGAGGGGAGGGCGAGCAGCTTTCATCTTGAAATTTGACCTGTTTCCACGGCGCGTAGCGTTGCAAATTTTGGCAGACGTGATCATGAACGCCTCGTCTACGCATTGCGCTTCTCAGCTCAAAATGGTCAAACCTGGTGAGTGGCCCTTTAAAATCTAGTTGGAGTTAGCTTGGACACCCTGTATAATAATTACAAGTAAGCTAGTACTGTTATAAAAAAAGTACCTAAATGCCCTGCCGTCTGTTTCAAAACTGAAAGATGTCAGTATCCCTCTTTAATTCATCTTCTTTTTTTTTTGCTTCATGTCATGATGTGAATTTTTTGCATCTGCCAATTGTAAATGCTTCCCTCACATACTCCAAACTTGATGTATGCTGTAAGATTTTGATGTGGCTCCATGAACTAGATTGTTTTTTTAATGATACAGTGAACTGTTGTCCTACCCCACTCATTTTCACATAAAGTTAGAAAAAAAATCAGTGCTGAGCCCACATAAATTTCCAAAAATGTTACCCGTAGCCACCCCTTGAAACAATTCTGACAGCAAACAAAGCAATGCCAATCAATCAAGCCAGATGTTTTTTTTTTTGTCTAGGGGGCGCCACCAGACCTGTATGCATGTGTCTGTGCATGTGTTCATAGACGTGCCTATATAAACACACAAAATGTAAACATTCACGAAACAACCCCACCTCCCTATAATCGCCACTCCCTATGGCTATGCTAATAATGATGGTGAGGGCACGTGAGTTGGTTCGATTCAGTTGGCCATGGTTGCCACACTGTCACAGCTTTTCTACGAATTGAGCTTTTCTGTCTATATTTTACACAGATTTCCATTCATTGTTATACATTAAAAAAAAAATTAGTGTGTCAGGAATGACAATAAAAATGGCCTAAGAAAAAAATGCACAGAACGCGAGCAATAGAAGAAACAGGAAAATGAAAAAGAGCCGCCCGACTCTTCATCTCGGCGAGCTGCCATCTTCGTGCTCTGGTCATTCAGCTGACGGGCGGTGCAGCGAGCGGCCGAAAGCTGGGACAGGTCAGCGGCATGCCGCTGACCTTGAACGGGCCCGGGCTTGCAGGCACCTGTCTGTCACATCAATGGGGCACGGGTCAAAGGGGCCTGGAATGTGCAGTGAGTACCATCCGGCACCAGTTCAACACCAGATGGGAACGACATCTCCATGCCCTCGCCTTTTTTGCGGAGCGTCCTATTACACCAGCGTGGACACAAGTACCGACGGATGTGGTGAGCGATTAGAGATGCCCATGGGACTTGGCCATGCTAGAACTTGTTAACTATTGTGTTTTGGAGACTTAGTTGTTTCTAGATAGCTTATAGTCGTTCGTGTGTACTTTTTTATGACTCTGTGTGTGCAATGAAGTGTACTCTCGCGCCACACGGTATCGCCTTCATGTTTTAGTCCCGCTAACTCAAACAAAATGGGCCGGGCACAATATTAACATTGTGACAACAATGACCTGCCACTTTTCCGAGTTTTCGCTGTGCAGAAACTTCTCTAACCATGACAACGACACCACAGTGCACATCACCAACACTTCAGTGGAAGTCATCAATACTTCATCGCACCAACGCGCACAATACTTTGATGCCTTAGACTCATAACACATCAATATCACAGAAACAGTGAGTGAGCATACAAGACTACAACTGAAATTTTATCTAACAACACTTTCAGAAAAAAATATTGCTTGAATATATTATGTTGGGTTGCTCTGACCTACACGTCATTATGTACCAAGTTCAGCCCAAACACACTCAATCAACCATGAACACGGTAAGAAAAAGATGCCAGGCCTGCGCGGAAAGCGCAGCACAGTCACAGCAAAAGCTAGAAAAGCAGCCCTTCAGAGCCTTTTCTAAACACTCATTGGGTAACTACTGCAAGCACACTTGCCTGATACCCACTACGGCATTATTAATAAAATTTTTTGGGTAGTAGGCCGGCATTGGCTATGCTATTTTTGTCATTCTTCTGAGAAGCATGGTATCCGCTAAAAACTCGCAAGGAACTTTTTGCCAATTGTTCATGCAGTGGCTGACGACGATAAGAAATTATGGCTGAAGTGGGTATGTGCCACAGTCCCTAGGTGAACAAGAACAAGCTTTTGTAATGGGTTGGAGCATTGGACGACCCACTCGTTACGCTATTCGCATTGTGCAACGTCTGGTTGTTCTTTCGCTGTTGTAAAATACTTTATAAGTCGTATTAATGCGATTGCTTTCCCAACATCAAGCCTGCCTAAGGTGAGTTTGCCAAGAAGTCCCAAGCACCGGCGTGGCTTAGCTGTAGAATATTGGGCTGGCTGACAACCAGTAGACCTGGGTTCGAGCCCCATTGTGTCATTGGTGCTAGTTTTTTTTTTTTCTAATTTCGCACGATGTGGTTACAAACACCGGCGGCGGTGGACAACTGCCCGTGACACGAGTTCCGATTTCATAACAGCTTTCACAGTAAAATAGATGTGTCTAGTGCGAATAAGCTTTCACTATACCTAAAGAAACTATCTGATAGTTATGTACATTAGATTACATAGCACCTAAAATGCACCTAAAAGTTCACAACTAGCTTGGGGCGTTTTGTTTGAGCCGGCGGGACTGATATATGAAGGCGACCCAGTGTGGCACAAAAACACACTTCATTGCACACACAAAGTCATAAACAAGTACACGCAAAAGACTAAAGCTATCTAGAAACAACTAGGTCTCCAAAACACAATATAATGAGTCCTAGTACAGCAAAGTCCTTCGTGCATCTCCCCCCGTCGCTCACCACGTCCGCCAGTCCTGGCGTCCACGCTGGTGTAAAAGGACACTCCACAAACGACGCAAGGCGTGCGGACGTCGTTCCCATTCGGTGTTGGACTGGTACCAGCAGATTATCTGGGCACGTCCCAGGCCCTTCTGGCCCGTGCGTCGTTGATGTGACAGACAGGTGCCTGCAAGCCCGGGCTCGTTCGAGGTGGGCAGCGTGACGCTGCCCTGTCCCGGCCACTCGGTGCACCACCCACCAGTTCAATGACCAGAGCACGAAGACAGCAGCTCGCTGAAGTGAGGACTCGGGCGGCTCTCGATGCGCTGAAGTCCTGGAGCAGGACACAAGCCGCCTCGACCATCCGTCCTCTCCTCTGTCGTTCTGGCCAACGTTCTCTTCTGCATGTGCCCGCCTTCCAATCTCATGCCCGCGCGCCTCTCTTTCATCTTGCAATTTCTTCTATTGCTCGCATTCCGTACATTTTTCTTTTTTCTCTTCTTCGGCCATTTTCCTTGTCATCCCTGACCCAAACCTATTTTCCAGCTTTTACAGTAGGTGTTTCTTGACTACTTGAAGGTCAGATATAAGAACCATTCTTGTATAAGTAGTGCATTACAAAACCCAGCATTACAACATTTGACAGCAGTAATCGTAAGCAAATGAACTTGACACTACTGCCGCAGCACCAGATGACAACTGAAGCACTCAATCGGTAAATAGTTTACAAATTATGAACAGCCTTTTTTTGTTTCACATATACAAACATTGCTTGCACCCCGATGAGCCAGGTAACTCAAATAGCCAACCAGCATAACAAATAGATATGCACAATGGTATACACGACGAATTTTTTTCAAATAACTAAGCCTTGTTTTGTACTGCAAACATTGATTGATATGTGGGGTTTAACGTCCCAAAACCACCATATAATTATGAGAGACGCCGTAGTGGAGGGCTCCGGAAATTTCGACCAACTGTAAACATTGGCACATATTGTAACTACTAGGAAAATTCAGAGGAGGTCAAAAAACAACACGCCTTTAACACAGGAACCACACACAAAACGGGCCACAAGAAGAATTTTTACCTCCAGTTCGAGCCTTGCCGAAGGCAGCCGCCAGGTTGTTCTGCTTGGGCTTTGATTTGGCTGAGCCCTTCTGCAAACACGGTGTTGACAAGAGAACATTTGGAACGGTGGCAAACACTCAAATTAAGATACGCAGCAGTCGTGAGCTACAAGTCGTACTGAAAAACCTCGCTGTGCAATTGTAAAGACGCAAGACGAAAAATGCAACAGAAGAGTTTGTAATCTGTCTGGGGCAGCTACTGTTAGCGGCTCTCACACAACTATGGCATCCTGAGAGTTAGCTTTACCTTAGTGTATACACAGTCATGCATACCACGAATCTTCTGAGTGATGTGACCAAAGGCCCAACCTGTAGGTACACTGTGCAAACGTTCCCCCTGGCTACCTTGGTACTAATTTTACCAAAGCAAACTTTTCCTATCTGCAAATGTCATGATAGTATCGAAAATAAAGCCGTTCCCTTCATTTAGACGAAGCTGATGTAGTTTAGCTAAGATGTTTCATGTCCTTTTCTTTTTTTTACTTGTGCTAACAGATTCTTTGTTCGATTTGACATTTGTTAGAATAACGTTGCTTTCTCTTTTTTTTTTTTTCTCGAAAGTACATGTACAAAGATATTCATAAGTTTGTTTACGATTGGTATTTTAACTATGCTGCCAAGATCTTGAAGAAAGATCGCAGTATCTATAAATAAATAAATTAATCAAATAATTTGTGGTGTTTTACATAACCAAACCACGGTATGTTTGTAAAGCACGACTCAGTGGGGATTCCCGATTATTATCCACCCCATAAGGTCCTTCAACATTTATGTAAACCGAAGTACACCAGAGTTTTGTAATTTGGTGCCACAGAAATGAGAGGGCCATGGTTGGGAATCGACCTCGTTCATGCCTAGGAGTACAACACCTGAGTCACAAAGCTAACACTGCCTGCCTTCATTTTGATTTTACTGACATTTCTATATTGTCCCAACATAGAAGTGGTTAGCAGTACCTATATCAGTTAAAACTACACTGCTACCATTTGAAGAATAACAATATCTGGAGTTCTACGCATCAAAACCACGATATAATTATGAGAGACACCGGCAGTGAATGGCCTCAGAAATTTCAACAGTGTGGAGTTATTTCAACCATCTGGTGTGCAATGACTTCACACTGTACACAGGCCTCTGCCACTTCGCCTTATCGAAATGTGATTGCAGCAGCCGAGATCGAACCCACGACCTTTGGGTTAACAGCCGAGCACTGTAACCATTCTTCCATCGAGGCAGACAAATTTAAACAATATAAAGGCCTGGTAGCACGTGCTTTTGACAATGCATCTGAGTGTTGCCGGCAAAAAATTAAAGAACAAATGCTACCCGAGGTAAAAAGAAGGAACTCTTAACAAATACAAGGAATGCTGCCTTTATATTTTTGTTTACTCAGAAGACATGATTTAGCCCACAAAAGTGGTTTCTTAATTACCTGAATTGTTCGCTACAATACCTGTTCGCTGCAATACTGCTACAACACCACAGTCACGAACTGCAAGCCGTGTACAAAATCCTGGCTATACAAAGAATAGCGTGGAAACAATGCAGCAAGGTGTTCCTTTTACCGATGTTGGCGTAGGTTTATCCTTCTCTGTCTTGACCGGCTCACTTTTCGTTGGCACCGGCTTGGAGTCCTGCAACAGACATTGACAGCCGTATTTTTAGTAAGCCGTATTCTTAGTAAGCAGTATTCTTAATAAGAACACAGCATTATACCCCAATATGTGGACTGAAGAAAAAGTACAACTTTGACCCACACAAGATCGCATAATGGAAAAAAGTGTCACAAACAAACAGCAGCGATAGTCGAACATTCAACAGCACAAAGCTTCGTTTCAGGTCTACCGATTGGCACAAAAGTAAGGTTCAACGAACAGAAAGCAAAATGCGAAACAAAAATGCAAGATAATAGAAAATTGCAGCATAACGACTGCTTCCTAACTGGTGTTTACAGCAGAGAATTATTTCTAATTCGTGCATTTTGTTCTAGCATGTACACCTGTGCAATAACCAAAAAAATAGATAGTCAAGGCAGTAAATAAGGCTATTTCTTAAGAAAAGCCATTGAGTGTGTAAAAACGTCAATGGAGGACTCACTGATGCAGTCACCTAATCTGTTAGACTGTCATTGCAAGGACAACGCATACTAAGAATTACACAGTGTTGGTGAGACCCAGTATCTGGAAGACTTAAGACAGCTCCGTGTGTTCTTGCAAGATTTTAAGCACCTTTCTCGCGGTCAGAATCGAGAATGCACATATTTAATAAACAATAAAAAATTCAATACATCGCAGATTAGGCATTGGAGATACTCTAATAAATGGCTTTGAAAAGTTTGTTTTCTTTAGCAGTGTTCACCATTATATTTTGATGTCTATTAAGAAGCGACTTGCGAGTCTAAAAGGGTAAATTTTTTACAAAGGGAAATGTTGATCCACATGATCTTTTTTTTATGATTATTATGCTGACACCTGTTGTCACTGACCTGCAAATTAACTCACTCAGCTTCAAATCTCTTTGGCAAAAACTTTAGTACGCATGATCACACAATAAAAAAGCGGTGTGATCATGCGAGTAAATACTGTGTTAGTGCTTATACAGTAGAGCAGATCAGTAAACAGAACCTGAAGGGACCGGAAAAATATGTTCCACCTAACAGTTTACTGAGAGGTGAACATGGGTGCAGAATACAAGCCCGAAACCAAGCATTGCACAGGCAATAGTTTCGTTTAAGCAGTAGTTCAATTTAACAAATTTTCATTTACTGAGAGTGTAATGTAGTGTATTTTGGAACACACCTGCCTACAGCAGCTTGTGAACAGAGAAAACAATCAATGATCAACACCTTTCTTAGATGGCTCGCTCGATGTGGCAGCTCCTGGGAGAGCGCACCGCATGTACTCCTGATAGCCTAGTCAAGGGACTTCTCCAGCATCACCTACCCTTGCCACCTTACACCTTTCTTGCTATTTATGACGACATGCTGCAAGACCATTTCATTGAATGCCTAAACAAGATGCACAAAGCTGCCACTGAATGTCAAATTTGCTTTTTTTAGTTTGTTTGCACAGTGCTCGCGACAGTATAGTACATACACATATCTGCTATGAACAGTGGCATTAGCTAGTTAAATCTAGCTTTTTTTTTTTTTTTCCACTGAAATAATGCGCATGTCTGAAGGCTCTAAGGGTCTCGCTCACCTGTGCACGAGAAGGAGGCTTTGCAGGGGAAACAGCTTTTCTTTCTGCCACAGTTGAGATTCCATTGAGACCCTTTCTAGTGCCTCGCGTCCTCTGCGCTGCTTCGCAGTAAATGGGGCACACGCTGCAGGAACATAGTCCACAGGTTAAGCGACACAGGGAGCACAGTTACAAGGATCGCCACTGGTGGCAGAATTGCCTAACCTAGAATGCCACGCTTTTAAATGGCACACTTGGAAGTTCGTCCGAATATCTAAGGTGTAAGCAGTTATCGCACACAATTTCTGGGATCATCTGGCAATTCTGGTGTAAGCAGGCCTGACAAGATGCACCACCATAGAAAAATCCAGTTGCTGGCTGACGCGCTATTTGAAGATGTATGCAGGAAACCAGACATTGCTCTGTATACTAGTCTTTTCTTTATGTTTGCACTCCCATTAACTAAACTTACGGTCTTTGGAGGATGTGTACCACACAAGTGTACCACATGAACTTCACACCTAATGTGTTTGATATGGCTATTTTAAAGCTGGTTATTTCACACTTTGCGACAAGTTAGAAGTGGTTGCCAATACAAAGCAAATACAGGTTCAACACAATTACAGCAAAAAATGTAACCGAAAAGTTTACTACATTTCTGAAGCAATGATGTTCTATCATCTCTACTACAAATCAACAAATGCGTGCTGAACACAGACGATAACACAATCACAAACAGACATGCTTCACAAAACACACGCATGCTGTAATATCAAAGTCACATGACCAAGGCAAAGGCATGAAGATTACCTCAGCTTGAAGTCGGACGTCCCTGCTTCTGTTAGTCGGTCTATGCAGTCCTGCAAGGTGATTAAAATATATGTATCCTTCCACACTCGGTGTCGATAGTAAGAAAGTGTCACATCAGATGCCCCGCAAATTTCTTGTAAGCTAAGAGCAGTGCAGTAAAAGCGATAAGAAAGCCAGCAACCATATGACGTTAAGCTGGCATTATCATTGTAAGACCTGCTACAAATACCAACTCGTGAAAAGATCACGTGCTTCCTCCCAAGTTTAAATGCCTATATATACTCCATGAAGTAAACAGGGTGACAGCCGTTGCTGTATCTCGGTTGGTAGAGCACCAAACACGCTATTCAAAGGTCGCTAGTCCCTGCCTGCGGCAGGCTATCTTTTTGTCTACTTTTCTTCATTATTTGCATCATAATTACTACAAATAACATCCCCTAATTTTTCCTTGGCTTTCAGGTCTATTAGCTCTAATTAACACTGCACATAAGATGCTTAATGGCCTCAAGTAGGAATGGAAGAAAACTTTAATTTAAAGTAGAAGTCAATGCAACACAATTTTTTACTAGACTCACCTCCAGGTTCGAAGGCTGGGCACTGAATGCATGAACACCCGTCACAGTTGTCAGATCGTTTTTGGCTTCAGACACAGACTGCCTTGCTGTCAAGATAACGCGGTAGATCTAGAATACAAAAACGAAAGTCCACTTTATGTGCATTGCCTGTGGTGTTTTTTCAATGGCTTCGCATTAACGAAAATTCCACCTCCTCCTATAAAGTTACTATTAATTTTTATTATTACTGTAAGCCAACGGATCGTGAACATGTTACTCTTATGGTGCGATATACATTTTAATATGACCTGATATACACAATAGTTGGAGCATGAAGTTCAACCTTTTACGGGCAGATTTACTGCTCATTCTAGAACAAAACTGTGTTGTTGAAAACAGGCACGGTGTATGCGTTTTACGAGTCATTCCTTTTGTCCAGGGTGGAAAGCGCGACAATTTTAGATGCAGGATTACAAAGGCAACTATAGCGAACTATAAAGTAAGGACTTTCATGGCAGATGAACACAAACATACGCGCGCAAAACCCGTTCTCATTTTAGAGGAGAAGAAACGACGAACCTTGTTCTGTATGCCAGTAATGACAGAATGCCCGATGACATTGCTTCCATCGGCCTCTTGCTCGTTTGTAAACTCCTTCAGGTACCTTTACGAAGATGGAGAAACAGGGTGACCAGGCGACAGTAGGAAGGTTCCGCTAACCGAACGAGGTATACTCACCTCTTGGCAGTGTTTGTATGAAGATCGAATTTCGACGCAAGCCACTTGTACGTTGCCTGCAATGAGTGACACTGTTGTTACGATACGCCAGGCAGTTTCCCTTCTGAGACCACCCCTTACAAGGTTGCTCGTGCTAAAAATTACATTCGGCAATTCGAAACCGACGAAACGCGTCGAAGAATACCGACATGCGATGCAGAAATCAGAGGCCCAAGTGAAAGTGTGGACGCAGGTGACTTACGACGTGACGATCGTAGACGACTTCGCTTTCAAGTTGATCACGTACGCTAGAATCCATATTTCCTACCGTCTTCCACGACGTTCAGTTTGTCAGCTTACAGAAAACGGGCACTCATCAACAATCTTGAGAGAACTCGAGAGCGCGCGAAACGGTATCAGCTGTCTCCGCTAGGAGTCACTAGGGGCGCGCTAAGCAAAATCAGAAATAGTGTACTGGAAAAAAAAAAGGTTATTGATTTTATAAAACACCACATGAGACAAGCTATTGCGTGTTCTTAGCGAATTTTAAAAAGAACAAAAAAATTGTTGTTGGATACCACAGTAGACTGCGTGCGTGTGGTGACCGTTGTGGTGACCACTGGAGCCCTTAATGACCACCGTACAGTTTAAGATTCTTTTTATTTGTCACTATATTTTGTGTAAATTGAGGTAATAAAACATATAGAAAACCACATTTTATAGTACGAGTGCTTTCAACCATACGTTTAACGTATTAGTTTCGGTTTCGCTGTCTACGAGGGAGCGTCAGTGTATAGGTGTTTTGTTGGAGCGTCTCGTGTCGCCGTTTATTATAGAGAGCCATCATGCTCTTGTAGGCTCCCTATCATTGTTTGAGACAACATTTTAGGTCACTGCAGTAGTGAGTACTAAACATTTGTTTCTGTGTGCCAGAACTAGCGACGGCGCTACAGGATGCCCCTGGGTAAGAGTGCCCATTGCAAGCGCAAAAGGGAGAAGCACGCACGCATCAGTCTTTAATGTCGTCATGCTGGCATGAGAAATTGAAGTGATGCCAGGATGAGCTAGTGGATGCTTGCGGGTGCTCATGCGGTGTTTCAATAGCCTAACACTTTTAGAGCTCTCCGCTTGTCATTCACAACCACGTGCAACTCGGTAAAGGCCTACAACAAAGCTGACAATGATCAAAACCGGCTAATATAATCGAACGAGCTTTATAGAATGGTATAGCAATGGCATAGCAGACAGAAATAACCAAGAATTAATCGCAATGATTAACCGAACGTTCCTAAAAACTCTTCAAAAACATGCAGTCAGCCAAGAGAGCACGCCACCACCCTACAACCCCCCCTCCCCCGCGATAACGGATAAGGTCCCTAGATTAAAGCAAGTTTCCTATTTATCTAGGGATCTTATGCCCCATAGTGTTACAGGATATGTTACTGGACTCTAGCACCCGACGAACGCTTCTCATGCGCCTTCTTCACAACATGCAACTTGATGGAACTCGCTGCATGCAGACGACGCGGGCAAGGTTCCATTTGGCGTTGCATAAATGGTTGCCAGACTGGAAGAGTGGTTGTTGCCAGACTGCCGCTAAATTTGGCAGAAAATTTTTTTCTTGTAGGGTTGGCTTTTTCGCAACAGTTTGGTGCTATCCGCGGTGCACTTCTTCGGTGCGGAGCCTAGCAGAAGTCGAGCGCGGTGCTGCCGTGCAATTAAGAGGCCGTTTCAATTCCGTTTTAATTAACGCAAGGAACCGAGCCTAGCAGAAGTCGAGCGTGGTGCTACCGTGCAATTAAGAGGCCGTTTCAATTCCGTTTTAATTAACGGAAGGAACCGAGCCTAGCAGAAGTCGAGCGTGGTGCTACCGTGCAATTAAGAGGCCATTTCAATTCCGTTTTAATTAACGGAAGGAACCGAGCCTAGCAGAAGTCGAGCGTGGTGCTGCCGTGCAATTAAGAGGCCGTTTCAATTCCGTTTTAATTAACGTAAGGAACCGAGCCTAGCAGAAGTCGAGCGTGGTGCTACCGTGCAATTAAGAGGCCGTTTCAATTCCGTTTTAATTAACGGAAGGAACCGAGCCTAGCAGAAGTCGAGCGTGGTGCTACCGTGCAATTAAGAGGCCGTTTCAATTCTAGCAGAAGTCGAGCGTGGTGCTGCCGTGCAATTAAGAGGCCGTTTCAATTCCGTTTTAATTAACGTAAGGAACCGAGCCTAGCAGAAGTCGAGCGTGGTGCTACCGTGCAATTAAGAGGCCGTTTCAATTCCGTTTTAATTAACGGAAGGAACCGAGCCTAGCAGAAGTCGAGCGTGGTGCTACCGTGCAATTAAGAGGCCGTTTCAATTCCGTTTTAATTAACGGAAGGAACCGAGCCTAGCAGAAGTCGAGCGTGGTGCTACCGTGCAATTAAGAGGCCATTTCAATTCCGTTTTAATTAACGGAAGGAACCGAGCCTAGCAGAAGTCGAGCGTGGTGCTGCCGTGCAATTAAGAGGCCGTTTCAATTCCGTTTTAATTAACGTAAGGAACCGAGCCTAGCAGAAGTCGAGCGTGGTGCTACCGTGCAATTAAGAGGCCGTTTCAATTCCGTTTTAATTAACGGAAGGAACCGAGCCTAGCAGAAGTCGAGCGTGGTGCTACCGTGCAATTAAGAGGCCGTTTCAATTCCGTTTTAATTAACGGAAGGAACCGAGCCTAGCAGAAGTCGAGCGTGGTGCTGCCGTGCAATTAAGAGGCCGTTTCAATTCCGTTTTAATTAACGGAAGGAACCGAGCCTAGCAGAAGTCGAGCGCGGTGCTGCCGTGCAACTAAGAGGCCGTTCCAATTCCGTTTTAATTAACGGAAGGAACCGAGCCTAGCAGAAGTCGAGCGCGGCGCAATTAAGAGGCCGTTTTAATTAACGGAATGAACCTCCCATTACAGAAGTCGAGGCGCGTTCTCTTGCTGTGTGCGCAGCTGTGCGATTAAGATATCGCGTGTCAGTATTAGGGATTACGGGGAAAACTGATTAGAGTCGCAGGGGGGGTGCGCTGCCCCCCTTCCCTCTTACTTTTCTTTTTTTTCTCTCTCAGCTGATCGTGTCGCGTCGACCGCGCGCTACGACGGGGGACGCTGCGCTTCAGCGGATAGCACCAAACTCTTGCGAAGAAGCCACAACTACAGGAGAAAAATTTTCAGTTAAGAAGTGCACCGCGGATAGCACCAAGCTCTTACAGAGAAGCCACAACTACAGAAGAAAAATTTTCTGCCAAATTTAGCGGCAGTCTGGCAACAACCACCCCAAAGTCTGGCAACAGACTTATGCAACGCCAAATGGAACCTTGCCGACGACGCGTATCTCAACTGATGGAACAAGCAGAAAGTCCACAAAGCATTGCAAAAAGCAGCATGTATGTCCAACACATAGTTGGTTAATCTCCCTAATACTATTCAACTATTGCTCGGAAAACTTTCCATGCTCACCTGAAACATTTGACTTCATCAATAAGGCTTGGTAAACAGAGCAACTCCATGAACAGGAACCGCTGGGGGGCCATGCTACACGTACCCTTACTTACGTTGCACAGCAGTGGCGCTGCATCTAGAACTGCATTAATCACTACATAAGAACGTCTTTTTCGATTACATTATTTTTGGAATGTCACCACCACATAAGAATGTGACCTGTATCAACTACATTATAGAAAAATTTTAAACCCTGGCCTTTGTGCACCCCCCTCCCCATGCCGTAATCGCTTATTTTTCAAGAGTTATTTAAACATTTATGTGTCAACAGTTACAAACTGGTTATTTATAATGCCTTCCTTCGTGACGCTTAATGTCACACAATAAGCAACCCTGCTTACCATATCTGTGTTTAGTTGGACTTGGTGAACTTATTGCTACATGAGCTATGCAACACATTGCTAGCGTGCAAGGGTTCACCTCTAGATCTACCTAGATCATTCTCGCAAGCATTGTTACTTAAGCTGTTACTGATACCTGCTGAATGTATTTTTATTATGTACATGCTGCCTCCACCACATAAAGTTGCATTCTGCTTTGTTACATGCATTCGTGTCTGACTAATCAGCTCAGAAAATCTGTTAAACGAAATTGTTCCTTAAACGGAACAACTGTCTCCAATATTATATGGTTTTGCACTTGTATTCTGCACCCCTATTACTTCTGTTAAATGGAACAAATTTTACTGGTTCCTTCAGATTCTATTTAACAAGAGTCTACTGTAAAGGACTATTGTGTGGCTCACATTTTTTTGATAATTAAAACCACATCAATTTGTTTCGAGCAACATTGAGCGTATGTTACAAACTTTCAATATACGTAGAGCAAGCAATCTTACCTTACCAAAGATTCTCTGCCACATAAGAGTTCTGGGAAGCACACTACTGTTGCACCATATTTCAAACCATCTTGTGCTGTGACTAAGGTATCACCACACAGAGTTACCACTCCCTAATGCTTTCATAGAAAGTCTTTATTGAAATCTAGTCATACAACAATGTGCCAGCATTTATTTGTCTTGTTTCGTGTGTAGTTTACAAAATGTTGCAAAAGAGAGCTTTTCCCTCCCAACACAACAGATCTTCACTCCACAAGCTGCAGATGACGTGGAGTTAACATTGCGAAGAAGTATTGCAGGCACATAGACACAGCAGCTTTGGCACGCGGCTACACAGCCGTCTTTGGATTATACTACGTCTGTAGGCTGGAAGCACGCTGCTATTATGCAGAGGTCAAGAAATTTCGCATAAGCACTGGCCACGGAGATGAAGGCAAAAGAGCGAACAATTACAAATATAAACGATGCAAGCAATCAAGCCAGGTAAATAAATTTATGAGCAGTATAGCTGCAATGCGTGCTGAACTCGACTGCTTGGCAAAATATGTGCGGCAAGCATAAAATTCAAGTTTTTCCGTATTCCTTGATACTGCACTTAAAGCTGACTGTAAGCTTTCCTTGTGACAGTTTGTTACACAAAAACATGCTGCAAGAGTGTTATGAATAAACTACTGTTAATGAGCCCCTTAACTCGCTAACTACAGAACTTGACACTATTTGTCTTTGACATTAATGCCTTCATTTCATTGGCTACAAGTTAACGTGTTTATGTTTTTAATGCAGTTAGACTTACAGAATTACAACTTCTTAGTAGGAACAACCCCTTTGTTTAACTAGATTTCAGTTTCTGCACAATTATAAAAACGTGAGCACCGCAAGTATTTACGATTATTTTAAAGAAACACTTCATACCTAGTAATCAATCAACCAATTCATTACAGTGCTGGTTTTTGTTCTCTTACTACACAGTTTCACTTTTTTACAACAAATTACAATGCCTGCAAAAGTAGAATTAGAAACTTGTAGTGAACAATCCAAGACACGGGTCTCAAAGTAAAATAAACTACGAAAGATAATGCTGAACACTACAACAGAATTAAGTCAAGGTGTGATGTACGAGAGCAAAATTGAAAGGAAACCATGAATGGATTCACAGTACTGTTCTGTTGAGCCTAGGTGGTTCAGCTTTGGTCATATGCTATGTAGGGCGGTCCATACATAAACCACAAGTTTCAGGCAAGACATACACTTTGATCAACGAGTGTTGATCTGCAAGAGAAGAAAGAGTATAATGACTAGGTGCAATAATAGATCCCAACAGCTGTTTGAACGAAAACAGTGATTGTGTCTTTGACACTGAAGCGTTGAAAGCCAAGCGCGAAAAGGACAAGTAACGTGACCCGTTAAAGAAGGTAAACTTTGGAGAAAGGTGTAATATGCGCAAGCTCTAGTTACAGTGGTGTACCCCTGGTGTAAGCTCGAATTTCCTACTCAGTAGCGACATTTCGAAGAAAGAAAGTACACCTCGATCGTCCTGGCAACATTTGCAAGAGAGAAGAACGCATCATGAACTCAAAATTTCTAACGAACTTAACTGCTATCGACCTCCGTAGCTGACCTGGGGAGAAAAGAGGGAAAAGCAAAAGGCTGTTAAAGAAAAGAATGGAGTCAAAGTACACTCCGAAGTTACAGCCATTGCACTTTCTGGCATAAAAGAAATGCACGACTGTTGAATTAAAGGAAAAAAAGTTACACGGACAGGGCATTTCATTCACACACATTTAAGCAAAAGTTTGTTCTCGCCAAACCAACACAAACAAGAAAGTAAGATGTGTAAAGTGATACCACTATGTACGTATATCTTTGAAAAGGTGTCGTCATTGACATGGAGAAAATGCCACCAAAAATAGGCAAAAGCACAGGCCTATATGCAAAGCAGAGTCGGATATGCAAATACGTAGAAAGACATGTTACCAGAATAAACCTCTTACTTTGTTCCCGTTCGTGCATGAAGTACCACACTTGGTTCTTCTACAGCAACTACTTTGCATCTAAATTATGAATTCAAACCAGTCCACAAAACTTGGCCAGTGTAATTTTTTCTTTAGTATCTCTAACTTATGATTGACTGTTTCTGAACAAACACCAACTAAACCGAGCAACATAACCCCAACTAACCTTAGATGATTACATTCATTACTTATTAATATAAATTAATATAAAACAATAGACATTCTGGCCTTTTCAACAATTGCTCGTCAGTACATGTCTAGGAAAGTGTAGCATACTTGTGTCAGCCTAATTACTGGTAATAGGATTATAATATTTAGGAATAACTGGCCAAAAGAAATATGATAAAGTGCAGTTTCATATGAAAACAGAGGTACTCGGTATATATTTGATAAATCATGGAAAGGCACACTTCGCCACACGCGTTGTACGACAGTATGCCAATAGTCACCTTGCATTACATAAAAATTTATTTTCAAGCAAAACAACTGCCTAACAACAATATCTTAGAGAAAAGTGTGACGTAGAGACAATCAACCAACGTAAAAGTTCGGCTGAACATAAAACGAGCAGAGGTAAAACTATATAGTATATAGTATTATACATGAAATAAAGAACAAATCAGGCACAGTTCCCTAAAAGTCTGGTGCGACAAATACATGTGACCGTTTTTCTGATATTTACCACTGATACAAGTATTATTTTCTCATTCAGCCTTCCTAGGGCAAATCCAGTGACAGCACAGTGTGCAACTGTTAAATAGCTGGAGGTCGGTGAAAGTTGCAACAGACCTTTGAATATAGAGAAAAATGCATTTTCTATTTGAAGCTTCCAGAACACCGCTCTTTTCTGGTCAAGTTGCAAGAATCAGTTTTTTCTTAAACAGGCGAAACAACTTCCATTGCATAAAGTTGACTTGTCTACAGCCAGAACTAGTATGTGTATTCACAAGGCAGGAAAAAAAAAAACTAAGATGAGAAAGTGTGGGGTGAAAGAACGAAATTTCACTGGGTGGATGTGGCAATACATGCTTGAAGTCAACAGGCGATGAGCAAACACAAATGATGCAAAGGCTGAGTGGCGGACGTAATGGTTGGCGCACCCGACTCTTAGAGGTGACGCTCTTACACTCGGCAAAGCACAGGAACTGCCGACAAGCGGCAACGGAGTTTCTCCTCGCCACTCAGAACTCGTCGTGCCGAGTCAGCGCCTCGCCGTAGTCTGTCGCCTGGCTTCCCACGAAGACGTCGTACTTGTCGATGATTTCATCCCTGGTGAGCTTGCCGTCCTGAAAAGAGAATGGGGTAACCATGTGACGAAAATACGAGACATGTTAACTCGTTAACTGTATAAACAATATGAGGACTTCTCTTCTTAAAATAGTTACTTGTCTTGTTAAAAAGCGGTATTAAACGATTCTGTTCTAAAATACAACTTTTGCTGTTGAAAAAAGAAATTGAAGCACATGTGAAGACGGATTGAAGCTAATTGTGAATTACTCATGCAAGAAAGGCTGGCCACCTCCTAATGGTTGACCCTAAAAAGTAAACAGGAATTCGAAAGCTTTCAGAAATTTTAAGCATTCTGAGAGTGCTTTCATGATTATTCTTATTTTAATTATGCTCACAACAACAAAAGCTTCTGCCATCAAGCAGAGGTGCAAGACTTGTCTAGAACAGTTTGAGACTGTTCAACAAGGATCAGCTGTGCTTGCCCGAAATGGTGAAGCGGTTGAGTGGGAAATATAAAGTGGACATGGACAAACAGAGTTGAATACAGTCGAACCTCGATATATCGAACGGCGCGGCAATCGCGAAATAGTTCGATATATCCAGAATTTGATATAAAAAAATAACGAAAAAAATGCGTCAACAGCTTGCTGAAAACAACCAAGCGTGGTTGCACCAAGCGTTCAAGCGTGGTGCAGTAAATACTCACTTGAAGATTCAAACATAGTATTTATTGTGTTGGTTTAAAATATTGAAAAAGAGTAGCCTGCTTTCTGTTGGCCATGGCGTGTTTGACGACTGCATCCTCAATATAGTCCAGGCGATCCATAAGTGATAGGCCGGTGCCTTCAATCGCGCCGCTGTGGCGGCACACAAGGGCCAAGGCAGCTACGACCTCAGCTGATGTCGGGAGTGGGGCACCATCAGCGCTTGCGGGATCCACCTCGGCAGAGTCTTCATTTGGCTGCTCAGCAGTAGCTTCGGCGACAATCTCCACGTCCGTGAGCTCCACGTCCGACAGGCCTAACTTCGTTCGAAGTTAGGCCTGTCGCGCACCACAGCGCGCGACAGGCCCAACTCTGAATGCACGAACACTGCGAGCACAATGACCGATGCCTGCCGATGCTACGGGGGAGGAGCTTGCAACAAGTGCGCAGTGTGCCGTTGACACCTTAGAGACTGCAACGACTGCGAGCTGCAAGGCTGCGGCGTGAATCCGGGTGTAAAGCGCGCACATGGCACGCCCATGCCGGCTCGCCTGACTGCTTTCCCTTTCCCGGCGGCAGCGCGGGCCGCGTCCGAGACAGTTGTCTGCGTCCTTTCCCTCCTATACTTTTCTCCTCAATCTTTACCTCCCAGTCCCTCTTCCCCCACGCGAAGCCGTGTCGATGCCTTCGTATTGGAAGACAATAACAGCTCCACGCTTTTCTCTTCACTTTCCTCATTCAAGAACCTCTACCGCAAGGCTGCGGCGCGCGTACGCCGCTACATTAAAATGGCGCTCTCGGCGCCATCGAAGTGTGCAGCATTCGTAAACGCCCGCCGCTCTACCGCTACTTTCGAGAGTTGCGGGTAAGCTCACCGCCTGTCAATGGAGCGCGGGCGGTTTGGGGTGGCTGAGTTCGATATATCCATTATACGTCAAACTATGTTCGAAATAAAAAATCTATAATGCATGCGATTCCCCGCGTGATATAGGAACCGTTCGATATAGGCAATTATTCGATATATCCGTGTTCTATATATTGAGGTTTGACTGTATAATTCTAAAAAAACTTGATTGATCCCTCCAGAAATGTGCCGTTACATTAGTATTTGAATGTTTACTGTACATAGATATACGAGAGCCTGCACAATGTTTTTTGGTGTTTGGCAGCACTGCTTAACATACTAGATGCACCAGTGTTGACGCTTGGTGGTACACCTTCATCTCGAAGACAAAGGTCCATGGTCATTATTAAACAAGCCGTTGTGGTAGCTGTAGTAGTGAACGGTGAGAGCTCAATCAGAAAAGGTGTTGGGACAACCAGAAGAGGGTTGCTGATTCAACACAGAACTTGGGCTAAGGTTGCTATCCCACGGCATGTTAAAGAGGTATTGAACACCACGGCCAGACTAGAGAAACCCCACATGCTTCCCATCTCTCATATTGGTCGGCCATGATTTTTCTTGGAGTGAGCAGCGAACAGCTAGGTGTTATAGCCAAGCGAGGGAGCTACGCATAGCTGATCCCTGCTTAAACGCAGATGCAACGACATGAATTGAACCTTCTTTTCTGTGCTTAGCAACGTAAGGACTCGGCCAATGAAAAGCATGCCTTCTCATAACAGAAAATAATAGCACAACTTCCTGAATCAAAACAATACCAACGAACAGACAGGGACAGGTGCTTATTCTTGCCTGTTCATTGATTTGGGTTTTGTTCAAGCAAGAACAACCTTATGGTACTTTGAATTATGTGGAATAAAAAACACACAAGAAGTAAGTTAAGAGACACTGCCTGTAATAAATGCCATGCACTCAAACCACAATATAACGAGCACAGATATTATGAATAATTGGTTATAACAAAGTAAGTGAAGAATAGCTTTGTCATAAATACAGTTTTGCAAATATACGTTTATAAAAATGTTTGGATATAACAAAGTATTTTCACAACAATTGTGGTTTCGATATCATGAAGTCTGAGGTTACTAAGTGTTTCTAAATAAATATTGATCACACAGTTGCTTTATGTGTGCTCGTAGTGTCGTACACAAGTTCTCTCACATTCTATAGAAAACTAAAGCTGCGGCTGTTCAGACGTACTAGTACATTATCATTACCGAGTCACCAAGGCAGGTAAACAAACTGGGCAACCCTCTGAAACCAACATAGGCAAAAATAAAAAGCTACTTCACACGATTGTTTCTCAACATCATAAATTGTTATAAAATGTTAGTTTTCTAGACAATATATTGTATTTCTACAGGATCATGATATTACAGCAAGTGGGAATTGCTCATGTAACTGTTTAAACCAACTCAGAGAGTATGCTGTGGTGGCACAATACTATTTGCGGTGCTAGGCCGCTAAACCGCAAGACACAAGCTTGATTAAGGCTGCAGTGGTCACATTTTGATAAAAGCAAAACGCTAGTAAACCATGTGTCACGCAATATTAGTGCACATTAGAAACTTACATGGTTGAAATTATCTGGAGCACTATGCCACGGTGTGCCTCATAATCACACGATTTCAGTACATGAAAGCACAAGTATTGTTATAAACCACTCAGAAACACCTTAAGTGAACTTGAAGGGCAGAGAAAATACTGTATAACTGAGGTGTAAATTGAAAAGGAAGAGAGAGAAATAACATTTATTTACACCCGTCGAGAATGAGGGGGGAAGAGGTCTTGGCTTATGCCCCTATTTATCCCTTTTGCCGTCGTCCGGAATCCCTTGGGACTCGGCAGCAGTCGGGACAAAACCGATGAGTTTACATTGTCCTTCAATGAGGATCAGCCTCATCTGTAAATATTGCCATTGATGAGCACTAAGATTATTAATGGTGTTAGTATATGAGCCATGAATAGGATTGACCTCTGCTAGAGCAAGCGTCGTGGCCCAGTTATTGTCATCTACAGAACTTTTTTTTTTTACTTTTGCAAAACTTTTCTGTGATGACAACGGCGGGGTCACGATGCTTGCTGTAGCAGTGGCCTGCTCTGTTCTTCATCAATGGCAATATCTACCAATGATTGCACACTGGTTTAAAACACCTACACGAAACACGAAAAAAAGGACAGTATAAGAACTGAACTTCAACACAGTTGAAGTTCAGCACTTTTGCCGCCCTTTTTTCGTGTTTTGTGTATGTGGTTTTAACCCAATGTGCGCTGCCATTTTTCGTAAATATGACAGGTCAACTAGCTCACAAGTGCATTATACCCACCAATCATATCTATCCTTTGCCAATTATAGGTGTTCGACCAGTCTGGGAAGCACAAGGCAATGCCTCCTCTACTCACGTGGTCCTTGTCGGCCTCGTGGATCAAGTGGCGTGCCTCGGACACGCTGTGATCATAGTCGACAGGCATGACCCAGTCGCGCACCTCGTCGGGTCCCATGAACCCGTCCTTGTCCTTGTCGCGGAAGTTCTTGAACTGCTCCTTCTCGTTCTGCACCCAGTCCGGCTCCACCTCACCCTCGGCTGCACCCTCGTACATGTCACCTGCAGTGCACCCAATGTGGTAATGGCACTTCAAAACCAGGAAAAAACAAGCCACATAACCTTAGAATATCGGGCATTTGGGAGCCTTTAGTAACATCTAAAGACTCCCAAATGCATCTAATATGCCTCTGTCAGCAGAGGATGCATATTCGATGCTTTTAGCCGATTGTCGCTTATGCTTGGCCCGTGCAGATGTAGCATCCCGAGAGAGTGTGGGGAACTGCATAGATTTCACGAGCGCGTCTTCCCAAGATGCCGTCAGCTTGGCTGCAAAGCAATGCTCACACCAACGTGCCACTCAATAGACTTTTTAACCATATCAGAGATGCGTCCTACGTTTGGTTGCTGACACGATCGTTCTGTGCCTGTGCACTAAAGTTCCTTCTATGCATTTGTCTGCAGATCGATAGCATACGCCGGTCTGATCGAAGCGCATCATAAATGCTCAGCTAAAAGTGCCTATTGACCAGGGTATTTATTTGGGTCATAGCCTCCACGAAAAGCTTTACTTTAGAGACAATAGGGGGAACATGAACGAGTCCGCATCCGAGACCAGCAAACGGTAGCAAGAGGAGTGACGGGAGAAAAATAGAAATAAAAAAGAAAAACCGAATCAGAAACTGAGCTAGGCAGCTCACAGTTCATCGACCCATTTCAATAGATGATGCTCACAGCCATCTATCCATCTATCTGAAATGGAGTGCTCTCACATTCACACTAAACGAGTTTTCCTTGTGTGCAATGCACTGACAAGTATTGCTAGTACTCATTCGGTGATGATGATGATATATGGTGTTTTTTGGCGCAAGGGCCATTTGATGGCCAAAGAGCGCCAGTTCATGGGACAAGGAATGTGGACGATGATTGTGATTAGCGGCTGTATAAGGGCCATAAAATTCCTCGTGGTAAGGCGGGTAAAAACATATAATAAAATCATGACCATGCCGTGAAAGGTGTGTGTGGTGCGAATAGATGAACAAAGTTGGTGATAATAAAAGACGATGGTGGATATGTATGGCATTAGCACAAGTGCCTCACTCGTTCATACCCTTGCGTCCAAGGGCCGTGAGGCAAGTGCTGTCTTGTGTAGCCACCGCAGCGAAAACCTCTCGGGAGAGGTCGTGCTACGGAATGCCCGGATATATGATATGAAAACTATGAATTTCTTTTAAAAACGCTAGCAATGATTTATAACTAAAAAGCGGTTCCCTACCGACGAACATTGCAGGGTGTAAAGGTATATGTTGTCGGTAGGGTAATGGAAAGTGTTGTTTTCTTATAGTGTCCAATTGTATGCACTGAATTAAAATGTGAAGAACTGTTAGTGCTTCACCACATCTGTCACACAATGGTGGGTCGCCACCGGACAAAAGATATGAGTGTGTCGCGTATGTGTGTCCTATCCTGCGTCTCGTTAGTATTACCTCTGTATGACGTGATTTCGATACTGGCAGCCAATGACCAAGGTGTGGCTTAATAATGTGTAGTTTGTTTTGTGTGTGTGTATCCCACTTGCTCTGCCAGTAGTCCCTGAGGTTTCGTTTGAGAGACGGCTTAAGATCAAGGGCCGGGATTAATATGGGTGTAAGGGCAGTGCTTTTGTGGACGGATGCAGCGAGCTGATTTGCCCTCACGTTGCCTTCGATCTCACGGTGCCCTGGCACCCAGCACACTACAACATGTTGTTTGAGTGTGTAGAGTGTGCACAAAATGGAGTAAAGTGAGACAAGGACTGGGTTTTTTTGTTTTTTAAGACTGTGCAGAGCCGTTACCACACTGAGGGAGTCTGTATAAATTACTGCTTTTTGTATTTGTAATTGTTTGATGTGTTTAGCTGCCACAAGTATCGCGTAAGCTTCTGCTGTGAAGATACTTGTGCCTGGATGTAGAGGGCCAGCATCCAAAAAGGATGGGCCGACAGCAGCGTAGGACACAGAGGAGTTGGACTTGGAGGCATCTGTAAGGAACTCAGGACGTGTGTATTTGTGTTGAAGTTCCAGGAAGTATGTTCGGATATGGGCAATAGGCGCATGTTTTGTAACTTCTAGAAAGGACACATCGCAGTCTATAGTCTGCCATTGCCACGGTGGCGGATATGCTACAGGAGCCATTAAACTGTGTTCAAGTGAGACTCCAGTTTCCTCAGCTAGACTTTTCAGGCGAACTGAGAAGGGCTGCCTCATCGAAGGCCTGTTTTGAAACAGAATTGAGCTCGACAAATCATTAAGAGTAGAGTATGAGGGGTGCTTCTTATCCGCTTTCACCTTAAGGAAATAAACAAAGGACATGTAAGTTCTCTGCAGATGAAGCGACCACTCATTTGACTCAACATAAAGGCTTTCTATGGGGCTGGTGCGAAAAGCACCCGTAGAAAGGCGGATGCCCAAATGGTGCACGGGGTCCAGCATCTTCAAAGCACTTTGAGTTGCAGACTGATAAACAACGGCCCCATAATCTAAGCGGGTGCGAACGAGGCTTCGATACAGATTCATGAGGCATTGCCTGTCACTACCCGAAGTAGTACGTGACAACACTTTTATAACACTCATGGCTTTTAAACATTTTGTTTTTAAATACTTTATGTGTGGTACGAAGGTCAACTTGTTGTCCAAGATTAAGCCTAAGAATTTATGCTCGGCTTTGACGGACAGACGTTGCCCATTCAGTCGAATGTCAGGTTCCGAGTGCATGCCTCTCTTTCGAGAGAACAAGACACACGTGCTTTTTTGTGGGTTAAGTCGAAATCCGTTTTCATCTGCCCAATTTGAGACCTTGTTTAAACCCAGCTGAACCTGCCGCTCACACATTGCCAAGTTGCATGACTTGAAGCCAAGCTGAACGTCGTCGACATATGTACAATAGAACATATTGCGGAGGATGGACAAGTACAAAGCATTCATTTTGATAATAAAAAGTGTGCAACTAAGCACACCATCTTGTGGCACGCCTGTTTCCTGGACAAATATTTGGGAGAAAACACTGCCCACACGGACACGGAATGTCCGGTTTGACAGGTAACTTTCGATTATATGAAACATTCTTCCGCGCACACCAAGGTGGGACAGGTATCTTAGAATTCCAAAACGCCATGTTGTATCATAAGCCTTTTCGATATCGAGGAACACAGAGAGAAAATATTGTTTATGGACGAAGGCGTCTCTGATCTGTGCCTCGATACGAACAAGGTGGTCTGTGGTGGATCTACTTTCTCGAAACCCGCACTGAAATGGGTCGAGCAAATTGTTTGTTTCAAGGATATGTACAAGTCGGCATCATTTTTTCGAAGACTTTGCACAAGCAGCTTGTAAGTGCAATAGGCCTATAACTTGAAGCTAAAGAAGGGTCCTTGCCCTCTTTCAAAATGGGAATAATAATAGCCTCTTTCCAGGAGGTAGGGATAGTGCCAGAAAACCAGATAGCATTGTACAAACAAAGTAAGGTTTTTCGTGTTTCGGCTGGTAGGTTTTTTAACATTTCATACACCACACGGTCAGAACCTGGGTCAGAAGTACTGCAGGAGTTTAGAGATGTTCGGAGCTCAGCTAGACTGAAAGCTTGGTTATATGCCTCGTATCTAGTGGATTTGTGTTCTAGTTTCTGCTTTTCTATTCTTGTTCTGTATTTTTGGAAAGTGTCAGTATAGTGGGACGAGCTGGATACCCGTTCAAAGTGTGCACCGAGGAAGTTTGTCTGGTCTTCCAAGGTATCACCCTGAGTGTTCACGAGTGGAAGTGTGTGTACTTGTTTTCCTGCTATCCTACCGACCATGTTCCAGACTTTAGCCTCCTGTGTGTATGAATTGATCCCTGACAAAAACTTCTGCCAGCTTTCTCTTCTGGCCTGCCGACGGGTTCTCCTGCCTTGAGACTTTATTTTCTTAAAGCTCTCAAGGTTTTCCGCTGTTGGCGAGTTCCGCAGCAATCTCCATGCCCTGTTCTGTTCCTTTCGCGCATTACGACACTCCGTGTTCCACCATGGGACGTGTCGTTTGCCGGGCATTCCAGATGTTTGCGGTATGCACCTGGCTGCTGCGTCAGTTAGAAAAGCTGTGAAATACTGCACAGCTTCATCGATGTTTAACCTACATATGTCTGTCCAACTCAAACGTGTAGTGTTATGAACTGTTCCCAGTCTGCTTTGTTTATCAGCCATTTGGGAACGTGTAGAGGACCTTCATATGTTGTTTGTGAACTCAGCACTACAGGAAAATGGTCACTACCATATAGATTATTCATGATTTTCCATTTGAGTAGGGGTAGAAGTGAAGGTGATAGGATGCTGAGGTCGATAGACGAGTAAGTTTTGTTGGCAACGTTATAGTATGTTGGCTCTTTCCTATTCAACAAACAGGCACCGGAAGAGAAGAGAAATTGTTCAATGAGACGACCTCGTGCATCACAGCGAGAATCGCCCCACAGTGCACTATGTGCATTTAGGTCCCCAAGAACCAAATAAGGTTCTGGCAGTTCGTCTATTAAAGACTGAAATTCACGTCTTTCAAGACGGTGGTGGGGAGGTACATACAAAGAGCAGATGGTGACGAGTTTGTTTAAAAGTACCGCTCGAACAGCCACCGCCTGAAGAGATGTCTGGAGTGGTAAATGTGTACACGCTACTCCTTGGTTAATAATAATGGCTACGCCACCGGATGACGCCACAGCATCATCTCGGTCCTTTCGGTATATGACGTAAGCACGTAAAAAATTTGTATTGGAGGATTTTAGGTGTGTTTCCTGTACACACAGCACTTGAGGTGAGTGTTTGTATAAAAGCTCTTGTACCTCGTCAAGGTTCTTAAGCAGTCCTCTGACGTTCCAATGTATGATTTGTGTGTCCATATTGGAAGTAAAGTAGTGCTGTGTGTACGTTAAGGGAGTGACTTGTTTAAGCTGAAAGGTCAAGCTCAAGTAACAGAGCCATTATCAGCCCCTGTTATGAGCTTTTTAGTTCTCTTGGCGCACTCTAGAGAGCCACGCCGTTCTTTTGGCACCAGGGGTGCC